TTTATAGGTCTGCTTCTGCTGTTTGATTATTCATTTGTTTTGGTTTTTTTTTTAGATTCCACATATACGTGAAATCATATGGTATTTGCTTTTCTCCGACTTATTTCACTTAGCATCATACTTTCTAGAAAGCATAATGTCTTTCTCTGTCTTATTTCACTTAGCATAATACTTTCTAATACTCTCAATATTGTCACAAATGACAGGATCTCATCCTTTCTATGGCTGAGTAATGTTCCATGGTATACATATATACCACATCTTCCTTACCCATTCATCTATGGATGGACACTTGAATTGCTCCCATATCTTGGCTATTGTAAATAATGCTGCAATAAACATAGGACTGCATGTATCTTTTTGAATTAGTGTTTTCATTTTCTTTGGGTAAATAGAATTCCTGGATCATATGGTAATTCTATTTTTAATTTTTTGAGGAACCTCCACACCGTTTTCTGCAGTGGCTGTACCAGTCTAAATTCCCACCAACAGTGCATGAGGGTTCCTTTTTCTCCACATCCTCGCCAACACTTGTTATTTCATCTTTTTGATTCTAGCCATTCTGACAGGTATGAGGTGATATCTCATTGTGGTTTTGATTTGTATTTCCCTGATGATGAGTGATGTTGAGCATCTTTTCACGTGTCTGTTGGCCATCTGCATGTCTTCTTTAGAAAAATGTCTATTCAGGTCCTCTGCCCATTTTTTAATTGGATTATTTGGTTTTTGGTGTTGAGTCATGTAAGCGCTTTATATATTTTGGATATTAACACCTTATCAGATGTATCATTTGCAAATATCTTCTCCCATTTGGCAGTTTTGTCAATTTTAGTTTTGTCGATTTCCTTCACTGTGCAGAAGCTTTTTATTTTGATGTAGTCCCAATAGTTTATTTTTGCTTGTTTCCCTTGTCTCAGGAGACATACCTAGAAAAATGTTGCTACTGTACCTTATAGTTTTAAGGGCTATTATAAATGCTATCTTTTTTTAAAAATATATCATATTCTAAATGTTTTTTATAAATTCATGGGCCTCCAACAAATTTTTTTTTTAAAGATTTTATTTATTTATTTGACAGAGAGAGACAGTGAGAGAGGGAACACAAGCAGGGGGAGTGGGAGAGGGAGAAGCAGGCTTCCCGCAGAGCAGGGAGCCTCCAACAATTTTTTTATACTGGTCTTACAACCAGACATCTTTTAAAAATAGTAGCTCCAATAGTTTGTCTATCCTCATGAATGATTTTTTCCCTCCTTTCCAATTCTGTTACTACTTATTTATTTTTTCATATCTTACTGTACTTGCTAGTCTTCCAGGAAAATGTTGGATATCAGGGATTCTTACCCTGTTCCAAACATTAAGAATTTACCTTTATCTGTTTCATCTTTAGGAATGGTGCTTGCTTGGGGTTGGGATTTTATTTTATTTTATTTTACAGATTTTATTTATTTATTTGACAGAGAGAGACACAGCGAGAGAGGGAGCACAAGCAGGGGGAGTGGGAGAGGGAGAAGCAGGCTTCCTGCAGAGCAGGGAGCCCGATGAGGGGCTCGATCCCAGGACCCTGGGATCATGACCTGAGCTGAAGGCAGACGTCCAACAACTGAGCCACCTAGGCGCCCTGGGATTTTATTTTTTTGATAGACCTCAATAAGTTAACAAAGTTCCCTTCTGAATCTAATCCACTTTTTTTTTTAAAAAAAGTCATAAATGGAGTTATGTTTCATTTTATCAAATGATTTTTCTAAATCAACCAAGATTATCACATTTCTCCTTCAATTTGTTAATGTGATGAACTATATTAATACATTCTCTATGTTACCATTCTTGGTAAAAATTATTTGGTGATGACATGTTTTAATGCATTGCTGGATTCAACTTGTTATTATTTCACTTAGACTTCTAGATGTAATTTCATAAGTGATATTAGCCTATAATTTTTCTTTCTTCCATTTACTTCTTGGTATTTGTCTCAAAGTGTCTCATGGATGAATTGGAGGACATTTCCTCTTTTTTATTCTCTTTTAGGAGTTAAGTGAAAATTGAGTTTGGTTATTCTTTTGAGAGTAGTCACCTGCAAGATTGTGGGAGTCTACTGGTGATGTTTTGTTTGTTTGTTCTTTGGTGCATATATTTTAAACGACTGATTTAATTTCTCTCTATTCATAGTCTATTCAAATTCTATATGTCCTCTTGGCAATCTCTGGGAAGTTATACTTCCTCAGAAATGTGTCCTGTTCTTCCAGGTCTTCAAATTTATTACCCCAGATTGTTCAATGTATTCTGATCTTTTAAACTTCTATTGTATCTATAGTTATTATACTTTTTATTCCTAATATGTGTATTTGCATCTTCTTTTTTCTTGCTCAGTGTTTCCAGAAATGTCTATTTAATTAGCCTTTCACAGAAGTTAGAAATTTACCCTCAAGATATATCTCTAACAGTATCAAAACAACATGCACAGGATTACCCATTCTGGCGTTCTTCATAATAGCAAAACAGTGGAAATAGTCTAAATGTCCACATGCAGGAAATTAGCTGAATAAATTATGATACTTCTACATAGTAGACTACCATATAGCTATTAAAAAGAAAGAATGAGGAAGACCTCTGTAAACTGACGGGCCATAATTTCCAGAATATGTCATTAAGTGGAAAAAAACATTGCGCAAAGAGTATATGTAGAATGCAACCTTTTGTATAAGAAAAAAGGGAAATACGTTTGTATTTGCTTATTTTTACAAAAAGAAATAAGAAAGATAAAATTGTTTACCTACAGAGGATGGGTGGGCAGGAGATAGAAGGGATAAGGAGGGGAATGGGATTTGTATCATGCCTTTTTTATATAGCTTTGACTTTTGAACGATGTTAATATTTTAAAAGTTTCAAAAAACAAGTCAATAAGAACGGGGAAACAACTAAAACTGAATGCCAACAATGACAAATAAACCTAACTGTGTATCAAACAAATAACAACTACACATTAATTCAAGTAACTTTTGAACACAATTCTCTGTATACTCTCAGTAGGATATATTCTAAGAACTTCAAAGAAATCTTGAGTTTCACTTAATACACTTATGGGGAGTAGGGTTGATGTAGTAATTCTGAAATTCTTTCATTCGTGTATAAGATTTGGTAAGAGAGTATGTATATGGTTGTTGGATTCTCATTCAGGGAGAAGGGAGATATAGATATGAAATGGGAGGAACGCAAGAACTCTAAGATGCTGGATTGGAATTATTGGCATGAATTCATCATTTTGAAGTTGTATCTCCTAGCTCTGAATGCTAAGAGGGCCTAGAAACAATGACTCTCTGGTAACAGTGAGCATACCTCGCATTCAGATCTTGGTATCCAAATACCATTCTCTGAACGGAATGAGAGCTCTTTGGAGAAATGCACGATTCCAGGACTGGGGCACGGAAACTACAAAATGAGTCTGGAATATCCATATATTGTGCCCAAAAGTTTTGAAGTTCTCCAAGAATACGGAGGACACATCAGATGGACAGAGAAACTGCTTTACAGGGTTCCTCTTCATCACATTTGGCACAATTTATATATCAAAATGAATAATAACAGAAGTAAATTGTTACTGAATACAAAAAATGCACTGACCATACTGATCATTTTAAAAACATTAAAGGGGGAGGCAGAAGGGGGAAAAACTCTTATTCACAGGAGGGGGCCCGCAAATAAATATAGAAGGAATGATATCTGTGAAATACATAGGAAACTTTGAGACTGGGTAATGACTCTGTTCCCAATCAGGTTTTCACTCATGGTTTTAGCATCTGCTGGTCACTCTCTTCTTTTTTTCAGTTTTAAGCTAATATGAAGAAAGCGACTATAAACATTTGTGAATGTATTCATTTCTCTTGAAGTAAGTGCCTAAAAGCACAGTTGCTGGCTCACACTGGATGTAAGTGCATGTTTCACTTTACAAGAGACCACATACCATGTCACACACACCCCATCCCGATCCCGGTTCTAGGATCACGCGCTGCCTTTCGTTGTTCTCTCTTTAACCTTGTGGTATCATCCAGGAGAAATGAGGGGAAACATCCTCTAAAGGACTTGTACAATCATGTTCAAAGCCACACTGTTTTTTGTGAACTCCAAACCAGAACCAGCCCAAATGTTCACCAAAAGTAGGATGGGTAAATAAATTTTGATACAGTTATAACAATGGGGATATGATGCAGTCAGCAATGAGAAAAGAACCAATTAATACTACATGCAACAATATGGATGAGTTTCACACATACAATTTTGAGTGAAAGAAGCCAGACCAAAACAGATACATCCTGATGATTCCATTTATATAAAATTCAGTAATAGGCCAAACTGGAACACAGCAAAGGAAGTCAGAAAAGTGATTCCCTATAGGACTGAGGCGTGCAGGAGAGGTTCCTGATATGCTGCTAATACTCTAAATCTACCTAAGTGTGCATTACTTGGATGTGCTTGCTTTGTGAAAACTTACCAGGCTGTACATTTATGATGAATGCGCCTTTCTGTACATTAGTTTTGTTCATATATATATATATTTTTTTTAAATATATATAAAAATAAATTTTAAAAAAAAGAGCCAACTTAACCCTGATGCCAAAACTAAGCAAAAAGAATAATGAATCCTTTCTGAGTTCATTTTAAACTTTAGGTTTCAGAAGGTGTGCTTATTTTCTGACTTCCTAAGCTTTTTGGGAAAACTTCCCTGTGACTAGCACGTCCTAGTGACAATACTCGGGATGGGAGCATACAGGGAGAAAGGCACTTCGAGGCTCCGTGTTGGGTGCACATCGGCCTGCACGTCTTTATGGAAAGAAATTTGACGATACACATCAAGAGAATTAAAAAGACTTATGCGCCACTTTATCTGATAATTCCCCTCCAGGAATGTATCCTAAATCAACATCTTAAATATTTATGAACAATGATGTAAAGTTATACACTAAAAAATGTTTTAGAAAAGAAAAACCTTTGAAGGTAATACTTACAATTGGCGTTCCAAAAGGAATGTAACCTGCGAGGGGAGAGAAGAGGGTCAGGTCTTCCAGTCCCACCCCACTCCACCCCATCCACCTCTCAACAGAGACAGTGGAAGAGACTTCCGGGTTTGGTCTTGTCAATGGCCCTGATGGGGCACCTCCACCCCCAGACCTTTTCCTGGCTCAGCCCTCCAGGATAGAAGGCTCCCCTGTGTCCCTCCACCACCCTCTCTCTGTCCCCCTTTAGCCAGACACTTCTCACTTGCCTCCAAAACTCAGAGGCCCATTGCTGAGGGCAGGGCTGCCCACTGCTGGGGGGCCACCATACTACACTCAGCGCTCGTCCCATGATTTCCTCCATGAGGTACGACGTCCCCAGCCCACACTCACGACACACACTACGCTGTCTTCACAGGCCCTGGAATGTCCTCCTTCTCTCACCTTGCCTTTCGAGCACACATCTTTACTTCCCCGGCATCATGACCGATTCTGGAAAGGGAACTCCCCACGCACTTGAGGTGTGTACCTCGACATGCCACCGGTCCTCTGTAACTTTCTCGTACCCTGGCTGGACATCCTCCGTAGGGCAGGAGAGAGCACCGTTCCCTCACTGCTCACGGCCCCGACACGGTGGGAGGCTCCCTCCACGGCCCCCACCCTGCTGTCAGTGGGCGGCCTTGTGTCCCTGACTCTTACGGCAGCCAGTCAGCCGGTGGTGGGACAGCGGACAACCACGCTTCTCTGAGCTCTCGAAAGCAAAGGGTCGTGTGCTGAGTGCGTGTAACTGTGCATGCACACGAGCCGTCATGTCACTCTAGCGCCCACGTCCCTCTGGAGACAGATCCAGGGTTTGCCTGGACAGTGACAAGAGAAGCCAGGCTCCAGGTGAGAGCCTGCTGTGGCCGCGTGCAGGGACTGGGAGCACCTACAGCCATGGGTACAAGCCGCTCCGGCCTTTGCGCCTGTTAGTTTCTCATGGCCAAGCAAGGAGGATCCCCGGGCACGAAGGCCTCAGTTGGCACAATGATGAACCATGGTTGTTTTTTCTCTCACCCACATGAGGTCAGGCTCTCTGGGGGTGGGCATCCTGACTGACCCAGCTGCGAACAGCCCCCGATAGAGACCCTTTCTCCCCTCCCCTGGGGACTTTCCAAGGCACCAGCCAGGAGCCCTCCACCCAGCCCTGCAAGAGTGCCCCGGGGCCCTGAGAAACGGCACGGGGGAGGCACCAGCACTCTGCCGTGTGACTCCGCACAAGGCCTGCAGCCTCTCAGAACTACAGGTGGGACACACGCACGGTGCGCGCAAGCGCTTTTCTAGGCTACTAAGCTCGTGCATACAGAGCTGTCCCTCCGGTGCCCACAGGGCGGGGACTTCCTGGGCCGCAGGGATCTTATGGCCACTCTCCCACCCCACCCCCTCTGCCACTGGTCTCCACAGAATGGGGATCCACCTTCCGTGTGGGCACTCGTGCAAATGCAGTGCATGCATTCTGGAGTAGAGGGGAGCCTGGGGCTTAAATGCCTTTAAGGGAACATGGTTTGGAAGGAAAGAGCACAGTGTGCACAGGTAGGTAAGGGAGGAGTGACTCACAGAAGGCAGGGCTTGCCGGAATCCGGGGTCACCCCTGAGGCTGCCGCTCAGTGAGTACTGTGTAACCGGGGTGGGAGCGCCACATTCCCCTGTGGAGGCCTCCGCCCCACCCCCACTGCTCAGGCAGAGAAAGCAGACAGGCACATTTTTTCTAAAGCCCCAGAGGTGATTCTGAGGCCTGGCCAGAGGTCTGTAAGGTCGAGCCAAGGTGAATATGCAGGTGCAAATGTGGCCACGTGTGTCACAGGTTCTGCCCTTCCTCAGCTCGCTACATCTGGATGCTCCCGGAGCTGTGACCATGGTAAGTACCCGGGGCTAGGCAGAATCAGAAGGGTCCCACGGGCTTACCTGACATTCTAAAGGGCATGAAGATCTTCTCATTGGTATCTGGGTGTAGAATAGCCTAGCAAGAGCAGGGAACAAGGCACAGGGTGACTGTGGGGAGCGGTGGGGGAGCAGACAGGGGGACGGGAGACGGAGGAAGGAGGGAAAGGAGAGCTCCCCCAGAAGGACTGGCCAGTCAATCCTTTCCCATCATTCAAGGCAAGAGAAAACCAAAACATGGGCCACCAACAGGGCTTTTCCTGACTCACACTTAAAGCTGAACGCAGGGGAGTGGGACTGAGTCTACCTTGCAGGTCCTCTGTCCCCCATGCCTAGTATTTAGTAGGCATGTAAGAAGGATTTTGTAGAAGGACCCCACAGGGAAGGAGTTCAGGGGCCCAGGGAAACGCAAGGGGCCTGAGCTCCGGCAGTCAGAAACTGAGGCCCCGGGTGTTAGGGAGGAAGGAAGGGCGAGGCAGTTGGGCTGGCAGCTGGGGGCTAATGGGAGGGGAAAGGCTGGGCAGCACAGCTGTGGATCCCCAGGACAGGGCAGGGCAAGGGAAGGAAACAAACCCAAAACTGAATTACCTGCTTGATTTTCTGTGCACTCCAGAGCTGCAAGGAAGGAAGGATGGGAGAGAGAAGAAAAAGAACAAAAAAAAGGAAAAGAAAAGAAAGGACAAAAATGAAAAGCATTTATCAATTGAAGGTCTCATAAGCCACATTTTTTAACCAAGAGACCCAGCTCCAAAGGGCATAAGAGGCTCAGGTTGTCCTGGTGCCCCCAGGCCTGGTAGCTTCCCTGGGACTGTGGCATCAGACATCCCAGGACAGCAGAACCAGGGGATCTCACGCAGACCATCCAAACCAGGGGTTCTCTATTCTGGCTACGCTGTAAAATTACTTGAAAAATTCTTCCAGCAATTTTCTAGTTAATTCTAAGGTTTCAATGAAGACACTTGAGTACGTCTCCTGGAATCACTAGAAGCAGCATAGCACGGATTTTTCAAAGCTGGACAGACTGCCTGGATTCCTGGCTTTGCCCCTCCTTCCTCTGAACCTCCATTTCTTCACTTGTAAAATGCGGGTAATAGCGGTGCCTCCACCATCGTGGAAGAGGTATAGGAAAGGTGCCTGGAGCAGCGCTGGGCACAGAGTAGGTGCTTGACCGCGGCTGACTGCTGTGGGTATTATGATCCCTATTGTTGTAGTTGTTATAAGAAGGTTACAAGGAGAAGAAAGTTGCTTTCAAATAAGCGGTGAGGTTTTCTCTCCAGCACAGTGTGGGAGACAGGCTGGACGGACAGAACCATTGCTAATTCCTTCAAATGGTATAAACACTGTATCTCATTGAGTCTAAGATATCAGCGATCCTAAGACGCACTATCATGTGCCACCGAGAAGGAAAACTTTAACATAATCCCAAGACCTCCATCCATTAAAAGACTCATCCCATTTGAGAGACATTAAAATGTGGTATAAGAGAAACTTTTAGAATCAAGAAAACATAGTGAATAAAAATGTACATGTGGGCAAAGCAAAGGCAGTGCGTTTTTAAAGGAGCAAGAAGGTATGAGGTGAGAGGGAGGAGGTGGCCAGCAGTTGATGTTAGTTTTACAACAGAATGGTTCAGTTATGCTTCAGTTTTGTGGCACTGTTGTCATCTGGAATATAAATTAAGCTGCAGAAGGCCACCAGGTAGCAGAAACAGAAGCATAGATTGAAGAATTCACATTTATGCATTTTACTCACATCAGAGTCCTTCAACCCTTAATTCACAGCCTAATTACCCTTATTTTAGATACATTTCAAACATATTTGATTGTTTGTGATTCCAGACCACGAAGACTGAAGTGGTCAATTTTTTAAAAATAATAATTATGGAAAAAGGGGACTGAAGGGAGAAAAACCAAATGCAGAATTGCTGTTGGCCAAAGAAGGTAAGTCAGAGCGTAACAGCAAAGAGGTAAAACAAAGTAACAAAAGGCCGATCCCCTTTGCTCAGAAAGTGCCTCCAATCCCAGCACCATCTTCGATGTGACCCCAGGCCCTGTGCAGACTCCTGACACCCCATATTTCCCACCCAGGATCAGAATCTCCTATGTCTAAGTCCAGCTCCTTGGAGGCAGGAGCTTGTCTTCCAAGGCTGTCACCCATCATCTCCCACAGTGCTGGGCACACAGAAAATCCAAGGCTATTCTAAAATTAAGATTTTATTTAAAAAAACCATGCAGGGCGCCTGGGTGGCTCAGTTGGTTAAGCAACTGCCTTTGGCTCAGGTCATGATCCTGGAGTCCCAGGATCGAGTCCCGCATCGGGCTCCCTGCTCAGGAGGGAGTCTGCTTCTCCCTCTGACCCTCCCCCCTCTCATGTTCTATCTCATTCTCTCAAATAAATAAATAAAATCTTAAAAAAAAAAAAAAAGAAAAAGAATATTCATAGCAGCACTATTCAAATAGCTGCAAAGTGCCAACAATCCAAATGTCAGTAATGGACTGGATAGGTAAATCGTAGTATATGTACACAATGAAATATTACACAACAACTTAAAGAGCGAGCAAACTACAAATACATGTTATAACATGGATGAATCTCACAGACATAATGTGGCAAAATGTATTTTCCAAAGATGGACACTCCAATATCTGCCATGCCCCATTCTCTTCTAGAACCTTCCTACGTCCCCCTCAAGAGGTAGAGTCTATGTGTCCTCCCGCTGATTCTGGGCAGGCCTTCATGACTGCCTCAACCAATAGAGTATGGCTGAAGTGAGGCTATGTGACCTCTGAGGCTATGTTACAAAAATGCCTTGCATTTTCACCTTGTTCTCTTGGGATGGTCGCTCTTTTGGAACTCAGCCATCGTACTGTAAGGAAGCCCGAGCAGCATATGGAGAGACCCACCTGGACAGGAACCGAGGCGCTGGCCCATGGCTACAGCTGAGCTATCAGCTGACAGTCCATACCAACTCGCCAGCCGTGCAAGTGAGCTATCTTGAAATGGACTTTCCCTGCCCCCCATCAAACCACCCTAGTGGACGCTGCAAGAAACAGCGATGAACCATCCCCTCTGAGCCCTGTCCAAACTGAAAACCAGTGAGCAAAAGAACTGAAGTGTTTGAAGCCACTATATTTTGGGGTGATCTGTTACATAGCAATGAAGGCTGATATACATAATGAAGTCAGATGCCAAAGAGTATGTATAAAGTTCAAAAACAGGCAAAGCTAATCTAACTAACATGGTGGAGGTCATGATAGTGTTACTTTTGGTGGGCGGGGGTGGTGCGGGGGGGTGGAGCAGGGTGCTGACTTGGAAAGGGCATGAGGGAACCCTTTGAGGTAATGGAAATGTCCAATGTCTTCATCTGAGTGGTGGTTACATGGGTATAAACATAAGTCAAAATGTATTAAGCCATAAACTTGGGATTTGTGCATTTTATCATATGTATGCTATACCTCAAAAAATTAACAAGAAACAGACAACAGCCATAGAAGGCAGCCTATGTCTGAGGGACCCAGACATCAGGGTTGTCCGGTGTGGGTAAAGAAACCCAGTGAAGCTGCCCTGTTCCCCCCTCTTTTTTTTTTTTTTTTTGGTTCCCCTTTTGATAGAAGGACAAGGCTAGCTGAGGATGGAAATGCAGAGACATCAACAGAAGCCCCCTGGTCTGAAGGCAGGATGCAACACGAGGAAGGACTTCCAGGGGGCAGACAGGGTGTTTGCTGAGCCAGCGGATGGGGCAGTCCCATAGGATGGGAAGGAACAGCCGACTCACTGCGGGCCCAGACAAGCCAGTCAGACCACGTGACCCGTCAGGCCAGCAGGTGAAGTACCTGTGGACACTGGTCTAATCCCGGGCATCAGGGAGCAGGGAAACTTCTTACTTAGGCGCGGCCTGACTGCAGGAGAGTACTGCCCCTCCCCCTTCAAAGGTTTGCATATCAATTCCAAAATTCCAGAGTCTCTTCCCAGAATCTGTTTCCAAAGTGGAGATAGCTTGGTGGGATATTTTTGGCAGGGGTGGGGTGGGGGTGGGGCAACTAACCCATGCTGTTTGGAGAGAATGTCAGAAAACAATAGATAAGCACAAAAGATCGTTTTAAATCCCTCATCAACACACTACCTGAGATAACCACCGCAGAAGTGAGAATGGTTTAAACAGAGTGAGGATGATTTTCGTCCTGGATTTAATGCATTTGTTTTTCAACAAAATGGGATCGTGTTGACTGTTTTAACTTCTTAAGGTCACATGGCCACAACATGAGAAGTTTAGTTTTTGTACCCAGAGTTTAGTCAGACCCTTGCTGTGTGCCCCCAACCCGCCCCCCTGCACCCCCAAAGCCTCACAGTGATGGGGCAAGCTCCCCACCCCAAGCCTGCTTCCTCCCACGCCACAGCCTCTGCCACGGGACAATGAATGCTCTACTTTCCAGCGCTGAATGGTGAATGGCCCCGTGTTCTCATTATTTTCCCACTCCAGGGATTCTCCCGAGTTCCTATAACAACCTGGCCAGGCTCCATCTCATTTGACACAGTCATCAAAGGGAGGCCTCCTGCCACAAGAATAAGTTCCAAAGAGCCCGATCTTGGCATGGGTTGAGGGAGAACTAAATCCAAAGTTCCTGAAGACAAGTCTGAGAAATTAGGACTGGAGGAAGCTAGAACATGCTCTTCTGTTGCTGGGCCTTACTAAGCCTCAGCCAGGCCCCTCTGTCAGAGGCTGAGGGGCTGGGCCCCTCTGTGGGACAGCCAAAGCCCCAGGACACTCGCTTTAAGAGGTCCCTGAGGCCTGACTGCTCTGGGGGCTGGGCTCTTCACGGCAGAGAACGGGGCCATTACCAGGGAGACCTGAGGGATGGGAGGAGGGTCTCCCTGCTTTAAGCCCTTCTCTCACTCCCGTGCATTATGAGGCTTGATGGAAGAGTCCTGGGCACTGGAGAGGTCTGGACAGCTGGAGGTCCGTGGTGGGTGAACTTTGCAGGAAGTCTTTTCAACCAGGAACAAACAGGCAGCCAGGCCCTGAACGCAAAGGCAGCAAGGAGCGGATGAAAGGCTCCTCTAGAGCCTTGGGCCAGGGGGAGAGTCGGCCCATGTTGCTTCCCAGACTCCCTCATTGGCTTGCCTGCCTCTAGCTCACCTGCCAGAAAGTGTCACCTTGAGGTTATCTCCTGTATTTGAGGGGGGCATGGTCTCCAGAAGGTCCTTCTGGAAACACTGGCACCTGGGAGGTCTGCTCCAGGGCAGAGAATTTGAACAGAGGAGAAGCCTGGCCTCAAGGGTCCTGCCCCAAAGCCCTGAGGGGTAGGAGAAGGAAGCAAAGGGGCAGACATGGAGTGTTAGGGTGGCAGCCAGAGAGGGCAGGAGACCATGCCAGACAGGAACAGGGACAGAGGGACCCAGAAAGGGAAGGACACAAAAAGGAAATCTGGAGAAAGAGTCATCAAAAAGTCCCTTGATGGTGATGCTCATTTGACAATCCCAAAATTACAAGAGACCGTGCCCTATTCACACAGGATGTGGATAAGAACACCCCTTTGCGTGTATCTATCATAGAACCATCTAGGCCACCCCCTCTCTGAACTAATTGCGGCCAGAAAAGGAAGGGCATTTCCATGCCCAGG